AGTCGCTCAGTCGTGTCCAACTCTGTGACCCTGTGGACTGTAGCCCGCCAGGCTCCTCTGTCCATGGGATTCTCCAGGCATGAATTCTGGAGTGGGAAGAAACATATACTACTGGCCAAAAAAAAAAAAGTGCAAACTAAGGACCTCCTTGACCCTGTGGAGATAAACTAGGTAATCACACCCTTAGGAGTCTATAGTCCAATTGTGGCTCAGATGGTGAAGCGTCTGCCTGCAATGCAGGAGACCTGGGCTCAATCCCCGAGTCAGAATGATCCCCTGGAGAAGGAAATGGCAACCCACTCCAGGACTCTTGCCTGGAAAATCCTATGGATGGAGGAGCCCAGTAGGCTACAGTCCATGGGATGGCAAAGAGTTGGACACGACTGAGCGACTTCACTATACTTTAAGAAACAAAAATGTCAAGGCCAGAGAGATCCTAAAGACTACTAGGAGTTCAACCATCCCATTTAAGAGTAAGAGGCAATACTCTAGGGGGATAAAGTGACTTGCCCAAGGTCATATCAAATAGGTACACACTGCTATATTTAAAATGGTTACCCAACAAGAATCTGTTGTATAGCACAGGGAACTCTGTTCAATGTTATGTGGAAGCCTGGATAAGAGGGAGTTTGGGGGAGAAAGGATACATATATACATATGGCTGAGTTCCTTTGCTATCCACCTAAACTATCAGGACATTTCTTTTTTTTTTTTAATAATGACATTCTTAATTGGTTATACTCCAATACAAAATTAAAAGTTTAATTTTTTTTAAAAGGTAGTAAAAAGACTCAAATGTTCATTCCAGAAGTCTAGAGAATAGTATAGAGGATACGAAAGGAGAGATAGAAAACACATGTCTGATACACAAAGGGGAAAAGTTCAATGACTGAATAAACTCAGCTATTTCTAAAACCACTATTGAGTCCTCTATGGTAGGATCTCTCAAAATTTCATCTATGCAAGTTCCCCATAAACATTCTGAGGAGAGTTCCTGGAGCAAACGAAAATAAATGGAAGAGACCAAAACTTTTCAGCATTCCCACATCCCCTGACCTCCAGGTCTCTTATCCATAGAAAGATGTAAATGCAGCTTAATTTGAGACATTTCAACCGTCACGTGCATTTACTATCATCCTCACGACTTATGCTGCCCAGCGTATATTATTGAAATCATTTGGGGGAAGGAGAGAAATTTTGATACCACATGAAAACTCCTTTTGTCCAGCTGGAAGAATTTAGTAACATAAAACGAGTTCAGGAATTAATTATTTAAAGTATATTTCAACATTAAAGTATCAAACAACAAGTTACATGTCCTATAAGTTTAATGGGGAGAATATATTTTGAAGTGGGCTGAAAGACTGCATCATGAAATCAAATCAGGTATGATGACCAGCGTTTGTTTTTCCAAAATGGAATGAAAGAGAAATACCAGGAAAACTGTGCTTAGGAAGGTTAAGCATCATTTTGTAAAACTTTTGTCTCAATTATACCTATGTGTATACTGGGCGTTTACTGGAATGTAATACAAAATAATTTTTTTTTTAAAAAAAAACTGTGAGTCACTTACAGTTTAAGGGATCGCAAGAGTCGGACCCGACTTAGCGACTAAACCACCACCACCACTTTCAAAAAAGTATGAGAAACAAGTTTTTAAAAATATGCATAAATGATTTATATGCCTATACATATACGCCAAATACACTTTTATCCCCATTAAAGAGTTCGCTGGCACACATAAGTACGGGTAAAGTTTGGGTTGTACACAAAGCTGATCAGAGCCCTCCTTAATCAGAATCCTGAAGGGAGTGAGCGAAGAAAGTTAAAGGGCAAAGGTCAAGCGGACGGATGGATGGATGAATGAATGAATGAATGGTGGAATCTGCTCAAACGGCTGTTTTTATCCTGCTCTCTACCAGAAACATCCTCAGCCTCCTTCCTTCTCCTAGATAGGTTCAAGAGGTCATACAGACAAAATAATGGAAATTCGCGGATCTGCCAGTGTCAGCAGGAAAGAAGGGGACGCAGCACGCACGTGCCAGCAGTCCCGAATAGGGATGTTGACGCTTACTTCAAACCAGTGAAAAAGAAACAATTTCTGTATTTCCTCTCTTCCTTCCCTCAGAGCCACTGTGAGAATGGACTAAAGAACATTTCAGGACAGTAAAAACCAGCTGTTTACCCAGAGATTGTGAGCACCATCGAGATTACTGAGACCCAGAAAGCACCCCGGGGCCGTTTACTCAAATGCTCGGTCGGGACAAGCCGGAGAAAGTTCCGACCCTATGCGTCCACGCCCCGGCCCCCTCACCATTTGCATCGCCTGCTCCATCCACTTTTCGGTCTCCTCTGCAGACACCGTGTACGGGCCATCGGTAGCCGCCGTGGACCCCGCCTTCGCCTCCATACTGCACCCGGGCCGCCTCGCTCAGCTAGAGAGGCCGCGAGGAAATAGGAGCACAGGCTACGGAACGCGGCGGATGCGGGCTGTCGTTTCCGGGGGAATCGAACGGTGAGGCACTCGGGAGCGAATTCTGGACGGACCTGGGCGCCCCGGACCAGTGAGCTGCAGCAGCAACAGAAAAGGGCAACTGCCCAGCTCTAGTCCACGCCCCCTTCTCGCTCCGGTAACAGTGTCTGCGGAAAGTCGCCTTTGTGATTTCTGGAGAGCACCGAGCAGGACCCGGCCGTCCAGCCCGGTCGTCCGTGCCAGGCGACAAAGAAAGGGTTTCCTGGTGGACCATCATCCCTTCCCTCTAGACAGCCCGCACCCCGGGGGCCTGAAAAATGCTTAGATCTACGTGGAATTTTCTGAAACGTCACAAAAAGAAATGCATCTTCCTGGGCACGGTCCTCGGAGGTGGGTGACAGCGTTCTTGGCAAGGCGCATTGGAAGAAGGGGGTGGGAGAGGGGTGTCTGTCTTCTAAAATAGAGGCGGAGAAACCACAGCCCAGGATTCCATCAACCATGAGACGGGGTATGGGGTGACAAACTTCCAAGGCTCTTTAAAGAAAGAAAGTGAAGTCGCTCAGTCGTGTCCGATTCTTTGCGACCCCATGGACTGTTCCCTACCAGGCTCCTCCATCCATGGGGTTTTGCAGGCAAGAGTACTGGAGTGGGTTGCCATTTCCTTCTCCAAGGCTCTTTACATCTCTGCAGTTGTGAAATGTGTGCCCTTTGCCCTGGCACTGCCCCTTACTCTGTGTTTTTCGCCTTTTACTCACTGCCTTTGGGATAACCCACCTCAGTGTTTGGTGGTGGAGGCGGGGGGGGGTTGTTTGTTTGTTCCTTGGGTTCTTTTCTTTTTTTTCCTCTTCTGTTTCAAGACACTGTTGTCTTACACATTTTTTTTTTCTTATTGTTTTCCCATGAGATTTGCCACTCCCAGTGCTTGATTTGGCGTTCATCCTTCGCAGAAGTTTCACAATATTCGAGGAGAGTAAACTAAAGCTTGCACTTCGAGTCTTGTTTAAAGGGAATTCGAATTTTTTTTAGAGCAGCACAGTTGTATTGAAGGACTGTGCTAGAAGGTAATGCTAGACAAAGAAACACAGATCAATATTTTAGCTCTGTTCCTGCTCTTTTAGAACACAAACTATGTAGTAAACTAGGTAGTAAGAAAGTACTTGCAGGATGCTGGGCAAGCAGGATCTTCAAGACTGGGATGAATTCCCACCTAATTCACGTAATTAAGTTATGCAGGCTGAGAGGAGATTTAGAAACAGATTAGATAACAATCTTGAGAGCCTTTTCCTCAGGACAGTTGTGTCCTAATGAGTGGAGATCTAAAGGAAAGAACAAAATGTCTTGGGTGATAACAGGAGAAAGAAATGCAGGAATGTTAAGAGGGGATTTTTAGCATTTGGGTGTTTTGAGAAATATTGTCACTAACTACATACTTTGGTTACAGAAGTAGTAAGAAGCAAAAGCAAAAGTTTCCCAAAGAATTTGGTTGTTTTTCTCTTACTATTGATTCTATTTTATGGCTCCCAAACAATTTGAAATTGACAGTACTCATAGTATCAGTAATTCAGCTCTATTGAATCTTGAAAATTTGAAACAGGCTTCTTGTTAATGAGGCAAGGAGAGTGTTTTCCTTTTGTCTGAGGTCTATCACAAATCAATAATGATCAAGTATAAATTTTATGGCATTTGAAAAATTCTTTACAGATAAAAATGTATTTTTCAGTGTTTTTAATCCACTGATATCTAATGTATATTTAAACTGTGCTAAAACTACTGAGTCCACTTATTTGTAGAAGCTAATGATTTGTGTGTGATGGAAGAAGTATAAGTAGAATGTTTTTGCCATGACTGAAGGTATCTTTAGAACCTAAGAAAAAATAGCATACTCCTTTAGATTTGTGGAACAACCTAATTGTGTATTAGAAATAATCATAAGGGAAGCAAAAGAGTACATTTAAAATATTTTTTTTTTTAATCTGTCAAGAGCTTTACAGGTACAGATTAAGAGGAAAGAGAAAGGCGAGTGAGGATAGGGGGCTGGGGGAAAGTTCAGAGGAACAGGAAAAGAAAGTAATCCTAGTATTTTATAGCAAAAAGGGATGTCAGTTTAAAAGGAAAAAAGAGTAGATGACCGTGACTGGCATTTCTTTGAGCCTCATAGTTTTTCCGCTTCAAGGGCTGGTTTTATAACATGGTACATATCAATTAATCTAAGAAACATTTATCCCTTGCCTATAGTGTTGAAGGGCTTCTCTGGTAGCTCAGTCGGTAAAGATCTACCTACAATTCAGGAGATCCGGGTTTGATCCCTGGGCTAGGAAGATACCCTGGAGAAGGAAATGGCAACCCACTCCAGTATTATTGCCTGGAGAATCCCATGGGCTGAGGAACCTGGTGGACTGCAGTCCATGGGGTTGCAAGAGTTGGACATGACTTAATGACTAAACCACTACCATAGTGTTGAAAGTAATATGATTGGAAATACAAGATTCACAGAGATTTTTTAATAATAATAGCTACTATTTTGGGGGTGCCCAGTGGGCCCTATATGAAGTTCTGTTGAGTGGGGATGATGGCAGGATAGCTATTGTTATCTGCATTCAAAAACATGGGAACCAGGCCGCTAAGAATTTAAGAAACTTGCCAAGGATCCCAGAGTTAGTTAACAGGGAAGCTAGAACTCAAACCCCAGTGTGTTAGATCAAGAGCACATTCTCTTTCTACACTGTGTCATTCTGTCTTCATGAACTTTATGGTCTGAGAGGAATGAAAACAAATGACTTAGTTTGTTTCATCTGGTATAACAAGATTTCACAGCCTGGGTGGCTTATAAATAACAGAAATTTATTTCTGACAGTTCTGGAGCCTGGACGTCTAAGATCAGGGAGCAAACGTGGCTTGGTGAGGGCCTGCTCCTGAGTTAGATCCTCATGTGGCAGAAGGGTCTAGGGATCTCAGTGAAGTCCCTTTAATAAGAACATTAATCTCATTCTTGAGGGCTACACACCCGAGCCCTAAGCGCTTCCCAAAGACTCCATCCTCCCAACACCAGGGAATAGGGCCTTAGAATTTCCACAGATGAATGTAGAGGAGATAGAAACATTCAAGCCATGCAAGTATGCAAAACAGTAAGAGCTGAAAAAATTATATCAAACTGGCAAATAGCATGTGCAGTTGGGAAAAAAAAAATTAGGAAAAGACTTCATGGAAGAAGTGGCACATTTTGATAGACTTGCAGATTAGGTAAGATATCAACATTCCTGTGCAAGAAGCTTGTCCATCCACTGGTGGGGGGAAAAGAAGCTCAATAAAAACTGAGTTATGGGCCTTCTTAAGTAGGAATTTGGATGACTAACTGCTTTAGAGAAAGTCGTACAATTTGATCAGTTTTAAGACTAGAGCAGTGCTTCTCAAACTTTTTGGCCTGAGGTCTCCTTTACACTTTTAAAAATTAAGGACTCTAAAGAGCTCTATAAAATGTGTGTCTAATAATAATTATTTCCATATTAAAAATTTAAAACCAGAGTATTTTTGAAATAGTAATTATTTTAAAATGACAATAGTAAATCTGTCACATATTAACATAAATATTATTTTCAGAAAACAAGTGAGAAAAGTAACATTGTTTTGCAGTTTTACAGATCTCTTTACTGTCTGGCTTATAGCTCTGTCCACATTTAGTCAGCTGCAAAGGCACTTGTCGTGTAGTCTTTAGAAACTCCACTGTACACTCACTCATAGAAGAAGGAGAGTGAAAAAGGCAAAGAGCATTTGTGTTATTACAGAAATAATTTTTACTCACAGATGCCCTAAAAGGTTATGGTGCACCTGCAGGAGTGCCCAAGCCACACTTTGAAAACCTCTGTGCTAGGTGACTCAGACAATAAAGAATTCGCCTGCAGTACAGAAGACACAGGTTTGATTTCTGGATTGGGAAGATGCCCTGGAGAAGGAAATGGCAACCCATCCCAGAATTCTTGCCTGGAAATCCCATAGATAGAGGTGCTTGGTGGGCTACAGTCCGTGGGAACCCAAAGAGTCAGACACGCCTGAGTGAATAACACTTTCTCTTTTTTCTCTTTAATGCTAGCAAAAGTGTTGCACAGAACAAACAACTTCATATGTATTCACTTGCTGATTTATTAAATATCAAAGCGTTGGTTTGTAATTTATATCTTAATCCCTGTGATGTCTTGGTCTCTTTAGTTTTTTATTTATTCATCCATTCATTCAACAAACATTTGAGTGAGAGTGACTAGTCTCCCTGTTTTCAACTCAGGTGACAGAGAAATAAGACTCCGTTTTTGACTTTGAGGAACTCGTGGTGCATCCAGAAAGCAGAAGTGGAAATAGACAGAAGTAGTGCAGTCAGAGTATCAGAGTTCCATGGTAGAGGAGTGTCTGGGAGCACAGGGAGAGAGTCGTGTTCAGCAAGCCCCATTGAAGAATCAGCTGGAGCCACAGCTACAGAGGAGATGGGAGCACGGGAAGGGGATGTTCAGCAGCAAATATGTATTGAGCCTCAGTTGTGTACCAGTGTTATATATTGGGGTGTCATTATATAAGACAAAACATTTGGGCATGTTTTCAAGGAACTTCCTTATAAGTAATTCTGATGTAAGTGGAACAGGGAACCACATTAAGAAATGATGGCAGGGTGTTGAAGAATTCTAAACATGGGAATTGAATAGTCATATTTAACTTTTAGCAAATCACTTTGCCTATAAAACTTGGGTTGAAAAGGTGAGAGACCAGAAACAAAAGAGTAGAATTAGGAAACTGTTAAACCAGTTCAAGAGTATTAATGATTGGGTCTGAATGAAAATAATGGTAAAACGGTGGACTAAAGTGGCAAAATTTAGAAACTATTTCTGAAAAGAATCAATAGCAGGATTTGGTGGTCTTTTGGATGGGAGTAAAGTTAACAG